CCCTGAGTGGGCCTAGGGTGTTTTTCCCGAGGAATTTCTCAGGAGTCCCCCCAACCCCCCCGCTCCGAAGGGTCCCGGAGGCCGCCGGAGGGCTGAGTCAGCGCTGACGCACGCCCAGCTGCGCTCCTCTGGCCGGGTGCCACGTCCCCCCTGCCCCCAAGCAGGGTTCCCGGTGCGGGGCACCTGGGGGTTGGGAAGATTTTGGTCCCTCAAGTGATGATCGAGAGGGCTTCCCGGTCTGAGGGACTCCAGGCAGGCCCTCTTGGGAACCCCTCCCTAAGATAAACTCGGACCCCCAACACACACACACCCCATTTTCTCTGAAGTTCAGGGAGGTGCCTGCTCACGTGGATAACCCCAGATTGGCCTGTGCCCCATTCCCACGCTCACTCATCCACACTAGCGTCCAATCTCGGGCAGTTATTCAGAATGCAAGCCCCTGGGACACCAGGAATGTTAAACACCGGTGCCCACGCTCAGGCAGCCCCATCAGTCACCCGCACACGGCCACAGCTTTGTCACCCTCCTACGCTTTCAAACGCTCACATATGCTTCCACTGGCACCCACACAACATGGTCAACATTCACAGCCAGTCACCCACACGTTGGCTTGGCGACACTCTCAGATATTACCGCACGCCCCCAACTCCAGTCTAAACACAATCACAGATCACCTGTGAGACCTCATTGCCGACCCCACTCACATGGACACACAGCCACAACTCAAAGAACTGGACCTAATCTTTCCGTCACAGGCCACAGACTCACACGCACGGACACCACAGATCACGTCTTAGCCATTCTCTGCTCCACGAATGTCACACACATGCACAATCTCCCGCACGTGCACAGTAGCACATACCCACATTCCACAGACACTCACACCTACGCTTTCCTACACGGAGGGTATCCCAGCCATGTCCCAGCCTGGTCCCTGCCTGCCTCCCTCCACATCCTAGACCCCACCCTGGGGCCCTGACCACCACGGGGGAGTCTGTGAGGGAGTGTGGGCTGGGTCCGTGACAGACCCCCACCCCCTGACTGCAGGCAAGACTCAATGCCTCTTGTGTGTCTTCTTGTCACGAAGCCAGCCATGAAAAGAAAGGGAGGTCAGTTTCTGAAAGGTCATTTCGGAAGGGACACAGGACTGAAGCAAGAGGCATTTGGGTTAGATGCTGGGAAGGACTTTTTAAACGTGAGTGAGCAGCTGGTAGAGAGGAGATTTGTCCCCCTGCATAGAGACTGAGGGCTGGACGAGGGGGAGCCTGGGAGAGCCACACTGAGGTGCTGGTTCTCAGCCCTCCCCTGGGCCCCAGCCTGGAGAGGGGGCAGCTGGGATGGTCATTGCACGAGAGAGTGAGGAGAGAGTGACCCTTGTGGTTAGCAGAGCCTGGGAGCCCAGATCTTAGCCCCAGGGGTCTGTAACCCAAATACCTCTTAATGACAGCCCAGCCACAGAACAGGCAATTAGAGATGGGGCTGATGATGGCAGCAGGATGGGGGGTGAGGGAGAGATAGAGAGAACAGTCCACACACAGAGATACAGAGAGATAGAGAGGCACTGAGATAGAGACATGCAGAGAGAGACAGATAGGAGACCAAATAAAATAGAGAGAGAGAGAGGGAGAGAGAGAGAGAGAGAGAGGAAGAGAGAGACTGATTCAGAGCTGGACACGGAGAGAGACCTGGAAAGACCGAGACAGAAAGTGGGGCAGAGGGAGGGCGTTGTGGGGGAGAGAAGATATAAAAAAAAAAAAAAGAAAAAGAGCAGAAGGAAGTTGGGGTAAGAGGGAGCTGAGGCTGGAACAGGCTCTATGGAGTCTGCAGAATGAAGTCTGACCCAGGAGAAGCTGGAATGGGGTCCCTCACCCAAGCCCCTATTTCCCTCAGCTCGGGGCCCCTATCCTGGTTCCCACTGGTGAGGTCAGCAGAGCCGCCCCCAAGCTGAGGTCATGGGCAGATCCAGTAGAATCTGACTCCTGCCAAGAGGCTGGGTCAGGGGGTCAGTGGGGCGTCTGCGGGGGGGTGGAGAGGAGGGGAGGTCGGGCAGTGGCTTTGGGCCAGGGGTAGCCCCGCCCACTCCTGCCCAGCCATGTGGTGCCACTTACTGCTGGCCAGCCTGGGCTGCGAGGGGCGGGGCTGCTAGAACTGCTTGGATTGGGCTCTGATTGGGCCAGACCAGTTCCTTCCTTTGCTGGGTGAGAGGGAGCAGGTCAGAGGGAGGAGGTCAGGAGGTTATCAGAGAGGTAACCTTGGTTCATAGTGAAGACAAAGAAGGAGATAAAATGGGGAGGTCACAGGTCAGATGACTGGGATCGGCAGAGGGAGGAGGTCGAGGGCATGGCCAGAGAAAGAGTGGTCCCAGGGAGGAGATCATGGGTGACGGTGGTCAAGCGGGAGGTCAGAAGGCAGTGGTCAGGAGAGGTGGTGGTCAGAGGGAGGAGTTCATAGGCAGTGGTGGTCAGAGGGAGGAGGTGGGGAAGGAACACGCAAGAGGCCCCGTCCTCTCCAAGTGGGTTTCCCCTGGCAAGGGGGCTCTGGGCCTGGAAGCAGCCCCAGAGAGCTGGTGCGGGGGAGTGTGGAGAGGGGGACAGTCGGGCTCTGGGGCTCAGGCCAGGAAGCTTTGATTCATCCCAGAACTAGGTCAGTGTTTTCTCTCTCACCAAAACCAAGGGGAAAAAAACACAACAAAACAGGAGTCAACAGGCTCATGGGGCCGCAACAGCTGTGGGTTGGAGAGGGGGGTGAGGGTCCTAGACCTGCTCCCTCTCTCTGACCCATAAACACAGTGTGTGTGTGTGTGTGTGTGTGTGTGTGCACGCGCGCGCGGGGGGGTGGGGGGGAGCTGGATCCCCAGACCTGAGCCACTCACATGGAGCCCTGGGCTTATTTTAACTGCCATGCACCCCGCTTCTTTCTGCAGCAGACCCCGTGGATGTGTTGGAGGCTCTGGGCGTGCGGGGGGGCCAGGCTGGGGTCCCTGAGGGGCCTGGCCTCTGCCCCCAGAGGGTCCCAGAGGGTGACCGGGCATTCAGGGTGGGCAAGGCCAGCACACTAGGTGTCCCCACGTGGGAACTCTTTCCAGGTAAGTCAGTGTGGGAGGGACTGGGGGTCATCCTGGGAGCAGGGGTCACTGCCAGGTCATCTGAGTGGCCCCCTTTCCCTCCGGACCCCATCAGATGAACAGTTTCCTGAGAACTTCTCTGTGCTGATCACCCTGCGGGGCCAGCCAGCCAACCAGTCTGTCCTTCTGTCCGTCTATGATGAGGATGGCACCCGGCAGCTGGGCCTGGCGCTGGGGCCAGCTCTGGGCCTCCTAGGGGGCTCCTTTAGACCCCTCCCCCAGCCGGTCAACCTCATGGATGGCAGGTGAGTAGAGGGAGAGTGAGGGCCCACAGAGTGGCGGGGTGAGACGCACCCCCCACGGAGACATCTCCCTGCAGGTGGCACCGGGTGGCAGTCAGTGTGGATGGCGGCGCGGCGACCCTGGTGGCTGACTGTGAGCCTCAGCCCCCGGTGCTGGGCCAGGGCCCGCGGTTCATCAGCACAGCGGGACTCACGATGCTGGGGAGCCAGGACCTCGGGGAGGAGAGCTTTGAGGTAGGTGTTCCATGAGGGGACACTGAGGCAGCGGGCGGGCAGCAGTTTTATCCACAGCCTGATCTGGAGGAGAGATGAGAGGATGGGGATGTCCAGCAGGGAGCACCATGAGTCCTTGTGCGTCTTTGTGGCGTGTGACTGTGAGATTCTAGAGCCACGAAATGATCACTTGTGATGCGGATATTTGGCTTTTGTGGCGGGAGGATAAGGCTGTGATGGTGACTGTGCTCACTGTGGTGGCGTGTGATTGCATGTGGGGAGGGGGGTATGATGTTGGGTGCGGGCAAGGCGTGAGGTTGAGTGGCCATGTGGCAGGTGTGCCTTTGGTGTGCTGACTGTGTCTGGCGACGGTGCTGCGTGTGACTGTGATGTGTGCCACCTCCAGGAGGCCAGCGGCCTCCTCCGTCCTGGTGTTCCCCTCTCCCGGCACCTTGAAGGTCACCTGACACCCGAGAGCGAAGGAACACATGTGCCCCCGATGGGACGGATATTGAGGGGTGTGCTTTGCGGTTGTGATTTGCTGTGACCCTGATAGAATCTCTCTTCTCTCAGTTTTGGAGAACCGAGGGGTCACTGGGGCTGCTGTGGTGGGGGCCACCCCCTCCTTATACTTAGGGTGCTCTGGGTGGAGAAGCACCTAGCCTCGATGCTGGGGTTGGGGGTCAGGGTTAGCCTGTGGCTTCCTTCCCTGTCTCCCACCCTCTCCCCAGGGAGACATTCAGGAGCTGCTGATCAGCGCAGATCCTCAGGCGGCCTTCCAGGCCTGTGAGCGGTACCTTCCTGGCTGTGACCACCTGGACCCTGCAGGCACCCGGGTGAGTGAGAGGCTTGTGCTGAGGTCACAGGCTGAGTCAGCCCCAGCTTCGGGTCTCAGGGATGAGTGAATGCTGAGCCCCATCTATGGGGCTGAGAGACTCCTGCCCTCCAACAGATCATAGGCATGGGTGATCTTGACCGGGGATCGTAAAGCCGAATGAGCCCTGGCTTCAGGACACAGGATTAGTGGGCGATGTGCTAACATGGCCTCGAGTGACCGGAGTGATGAGGCCCACACGGGGGGCCTCTGGGTCTGACTGGGGTCTTCTTCCCAGGCCCCCCAGGGTGAGCCAGAAACCCCTCCCCCCAAACGGAAGAGGAAGGGGAAGGGGAAGAAAAAAGGGCGAGGTCGTAAGGGGAAGGGCAGGAAGAAGAAGAACAAGGAGGCCATGACCCTGGATCCATCGCTTGGCTCCCTGGAGAACCGGGTAAGGGACCTTTGACCTCTCACCTCTGATCGTTGGCTGCCTGACTTCTGGTTCCTGATTCCCACCGATGAAGGTCTCTGCTTTCAGTCTCCATCCGGACTTTTGCTTTACCTTAGCTGACTGGTGACTGGGTGGTGGGGAGGGGGTGTTGGTTCAGTCTCATGAGCTCTCCATCTCTGCCCCCAAGTTCTGGGGGGTTGGAGGGAGGGACCATCTCAGGACGAGGACCTTAATATTAGAAGGATCTTGATGAGGGCCCTGTTTAAGGGTAGCTGGGGCTCATCAGAGTGTCTGCCATTCCTTGGGGTTGACTGTTTGGGGCCGCTGGTGAGGGTTATTTATTGGGGAGTCAGTAATTGAAATTGGGAGCACTATTTGACTTCCCTGATAGAGATTGATGGTTGGTTGGTGTGTCCCAGGGCAGGGGTCATTGCTGAAGGCCATTGGCTGGGGCCCTTGGTTAGGGCAGGGGCACTGGTTGACTACATCGGCTTCTGGTACTAGCGGGGAGAAAGACTTATTATTTCAGGCCCAGAGCAGGGGCACCAGGGGTAGCTGCCTCTCCCCAGCCCCTTCCTCAGCCCCTTACCTGGGCCCCCACTGTCTTCTTTGTGCTCTTGACCCAGTTCCTCTGCAGCTGTCCCGGCCAGAGGAGCTGCCGCTCCCTCACTGACTGTGGCCTGGCTGGCTGGCTGGGAGCTCGTCTTGGGAGAGAACATGTGGGATAGGCTTCCGGGAGCCTGGCCCTGAGTGCTGGACCTTGACCCTGCTCAGTGGGCTCTGGAGCCAGCCCCGCTCTGTCTTCCAGGCTTCTGACACCAGGCCCAGCACTCCTCCTCCACGCAGGAGAGCTCCCCCTGCTGGTTGTCTTGGTCCAGCCAGCACACCTTCGCCTCTAGGGGCCAGCCCCTCCCCACCTCTTACGTTCTCTGGGAATCCTCTTATCCCACTTCCCCAGACTGGGAGCGGGGCAGGGCCCATCTCCTCCTTTGTCTCCTTTTTGTCTTAATTAACCTGGCCCTAAACCTGATCCTCCTGTGTCCCTTCTCCAGACCTCTACCGACATCCCCAAGACAGAGGCAACAGCTCCAACGCTGCCCCCGACTCCCACGCCCTTGGTCATCGCCACCACTGTGACCATTGGCCGCAATGTCACCATCCTGGAGGTTGGCGGAAAGTGGGTGGGGCTGGAAGGGAAGGTCCCTGGGCAGTGGTGGCGGCAGGTGATCGGGGTGAACTTTGGTCTGTCCTAATGTCCGCAGGAGGGGCTGGACCCTGACAGTGAAAATGAACTGGGAACCCTGGAGACTGATTTAGCCGGAGAGGATGAGGAAGGAGACGGCCCCACCATGGGCCCCAACTTCCGGGCAGCAGAACAGCCATCCCAGACTCAGTTCCACATCTTTCCTGTGAGTCTGGGTGACGGTTAGGCGCAGGGGGCGCCTCACAGGGTCACATTCTCCCTCTTGCCTTATTTTTATCTTGCCTAGCATGCCTTCCTACCACCCCAGTGGAGTTGACAAATATTTATCTACAGACACTGTGCTAATGTGGCAGACATTGTGCTAATTAATAGATGGCTCTGTGGGCGGGGTGATTCATTCAACTTTTCGTCTAAGCATGATGAGAAGTCACTGGAGATGGAACAAGATCTGATTGGGAGTCTTAACCGCTCCTCTGGCTGCTGAGCAGCACGTGGACCAGAGGGGGAGCCAGAGGGGCAGCAGGGAACCAGTAGTCTCTGCAGTAGCTTCGGTGGGTGACCTGGAGGAGGGCAGTGGAGGTGGGGATAGAAACAGGAGGACAGATCTGGGTCATGCTCCGTTTGGGTCTTGCTGCTGGAGGTGGAGACAGATGTAAGGATGACGGTAGATTCCCGATGGGACCGTGGAGTGAGATGGGGAAGCTTGAGGGAGGGCAAGTAGGAGGTGCCAAGGATCTCATTTTGGATGTGCTAACTCGGCAGCCCCTGTTTGGCCTCCAACTGGAGACTTCAAGCTGGTGGTTGGTTAGAAGATTCTGGTGTTCAAGGGAGACGGTCTAGGCTGGAGATAAACCCTGGAGACTGGTCCACCGAGAGAGGCTATCTTTAGACAAGGAATTGGATAGGCTCGTCTAGGGCCGTGGTCAGCAAACCGCGGCTCGCGAGCCACATGCGGCTCTTTGGCCCCTTGAGTGTGGCTCTTCCACAAAATACCACGTTTGGGTGCGCACTGGTACAGTGCGATTGAAACTTCGTGGTCCATGTGCAGAAGTCGGTATTTTGTGGAAGAGCCACACTCAAGGAGCCAAAGAGCCACATGTGGCTCGTGAGCCGCAGTTTGCCGACCACTGGCTAGGGAACTAATGCAGACAGAGAAGGGGGCACAGGTTCTAGCTGTGGTGCTGGACAGGGTGGAGGTGAAGAATTCTAACGAACTTACCCCGAGTGCCTGTTCTGTGCCAAGCATTGTTTGAACGTATTCCTATGTTCATGGGATGGCTCTTGTCACGGGATGCCATCATTCACCCACCCACCGACTCTGCAGGGGAGGCCAGAGAAGTTAAATGAGTGGCTGTCCACCTGTCAGCTGGTGAGAGGCAGCTCCAGGGTTAGGACCGCACAACAGACTCTAGCGTGGGTGCTGTCACCTGATGCTGCCTGGCCAGGCGGCAGCCGGAAGCTGAGCTGCTCAGAACATCTTGGTTGAAGAAAGGACAGCCCAGGCAGCTCAGAGGATGGGCTCTGTGTGCATGCGTGCACGTGTGTGTGTGTGTGTGTGTGTGTGTGTGTGTGTGTGGAGTGTGTGTGTTGAGTGTGGGGTTGGTTGGCTAGGAGTTCTTTGTCTGAGTTGCAGGGCTCACATCTCTTTTCTGTCCACCCCCTGTCCCAGGGTGCTGGAGAGAAGGGAGCCAAAGGAGAGCCTGCAGTGATTGAACAGGTGAGGGGCCTGGGGCTGGGAGGAAGGGGTGGAATCCGGGCTAGAAGGAGAGTCACGCTCGTTTTTCCTTCAGGGACGGCAGTTCGAGGGACCCCCAGGAGCCCCAGGACCTCGGGTGAGTCAGGGCTGCATTCCTCTCTTCCTGTCTTTCTCTTCCAGTTGGGGTGTTTGAGCCCCTGGGGTGAGGAGTTGGAATGTGATATTGTTAGGTCATTTGAAGACTATTGGACGGTTGAGGCTCAAAGGATGCCAGAATAGGAATTGGGGCGTAAAGGGGATTGCTGTGGGTCCATATAGTATTAGGGGCCAGGAATGACTCCGTGGTTGGCTGTAGAAGTCAGCATGGGGTCAGGGTCAGTGGTGGGTCAGAAAACAGCCTGGTCCAAACTTTGCACTTCTCATGACCTCTGTTCCTCTGTCCTCAACAGGGGGTGGACGGCCCCTCAGGCCCTCCTGGACCCCCAGGGTTCCCCGGGGACCCCGGCCTACCGGTAAGAGCCTCCCCAGGGTGTATCCGTCTGGGGAGTGAGGTTTCAGGCGGTGGGGCTGAGGGGGGCAGCATGGATGTCTGAACGTGGGTCTGAGAGGCGGGGCCGGGGACACGGTCCTGGAGCTGGTTCAGGCCCCTCCCGCTCCTCTCTCCGCCCGTGAGCTGTCACTCGGCTCGGCTTCTGTCTCCTGCTTTTCTCCCTGTTTCTCTCTCTGAGTGTCTTTTATCTCTGTTTTCTTCTTATGTCCGTGTCTCTGTTTTTTTTTTTTTTAAGTATTTTTATTGATTTCAGAGAGGAAGGGAGAGAGAAAGAGATAGAAACATCAATGAGGAGAGAGAATCATTGATTGGCTGCCTCCTGCACTCCCCCTACGGGGGATCGAGCCCGCAACCTCGGCATGTGCCCTTGACTGGACTCGAACCCGGGACCTTCCGTCCACAGGCCGATGCTCAGCCACTGAGCCAAACCGGTTTCGGCCTTTTTTTTTTTTTAAGTATTTTTATTGATTTCAGAGAGGAAGGGAGAGAGAAAGAGATAGAAACATCAATGAGGAGAGAGAATCATTGATTGGCTGCCTCCTGCACTCCCCCTACGGGGGATCGAGCCCGCAACCTCGGCATGTGCCCTTGACTGGACTCGAACCCGGGACCTTCCGTCCACAGGCCGATGCTCAGCCACTGAGCCAAACCGGTTTCGGCCTTTTTTTTTTTTTAAGTATTTTTATTGATTTCAGAGAGGAAGGGAGAGAGAAAGAGATAGAAACATCAATGAGGAGAGAGAATCATTGATTGGCTGCCTCCTGCACTCCCCCTACGGGGGATCGAGCCCGCAACCTCGGCATGTGCCCTTGACTGGACTCGAACCCGGGACCTTCCGTCCACAGGCCGATGCTCAGCCACTGAGCCAAACCGGTTTCGGCCTTTTTTTTTTTTTAAGTATTTTTATTGATTTCAGAGAGGAAGGGAGAGAGAAAGAGATAGAAACATCAATGATGAGAGAGAATCATTGATTGGCTGCCTCCTGCACTCCCCCTACTGGGGATCGAGCCCGCAACCTGGGCATGTGCCCTTGACTGGACTCGAACCCGGGACCTTCAGTCCACAGGCCGATGCTCAGCCACTGAGCCAAACCAGCTGGGGCTCTGCTACTTTTTATGGTTCTCTCCCTCTATTTCTATATCTTTCCCTGCCTACTCTCTCTTTCTCTTTCTCCCTGCCTCCATCTTTCTCTGTCTCTCCCTGCCTCCCTCTCTCTATTTCCCTGTCTTCACCCCTCTCCTCTTCCATCTCTATCTCTCACCCCTGTCTCTCTCTGTCACCCTTCTTCCTCTCTTAGGGCCCTACTGGCCATCCAGGAATCCCTGGCATGGATGGACACCGGGGCCTCCCGGGAACTGTGATCATGATGCCGGTAAGAAGGAAATAGGGTGGCATAGCTTTGGGGGGTGGTGCCTCTCTTTGGGGCTCCCCTCACTGCCAATTGCCTGCTAGTTCCAGTTTGCAAGCAGCTCCCTCAAAGGACCCTCAGTCTCCTTCCAGCAGGCCCAGGCTCAGGCAATAATGCAACAGGCTCAGGTGCGTGGAGGACAATCAGGGGACTGACGGGGTGGGGGGTGGAGATGGAAGGACATTGAGGGAATGGCAGAGATGGGGGTAACGAAGGGCTGTCAGGACAGGGAGATATTTGTCTCCTGCAGATCCCCTCTGGCGGGGTGGGGGCTGTGGTCGGGTGCGTGTTGGGGGTATTGGAGTCTCATGGTAGAGCTGAGGCTCTGTTGCCCTCTGTCTTTCCAGCTCTCTATGAAAGGGCCCCCTGGCCCAGTGGGGCTCACTGGACGCCCAGGCCCCGTGGTGAGTATAGAGGCTGTGGTGAAAGGGAGATATGTCAGTGGAGAGGGGCAACCTATTCTAATGGCATTACCCCATCTCTTCTTCCAAGGGTCTCCCTGGGTATGCAGGTCAGAAAGGAGAGATGGGAGAAATGGGGCCACAGGTAAGATCGGGGGTGGGGACTGGACTGCATGGCAAGGGTCTTCCCTTAGGGCCACGAAATAAAATGCTCGTTGGGGAAAATGACAAAGGGGCTGGGATACCCTTGCAACTACTACCCTTCCTTGGGAATGATTTAAAATAAGTCCTTCCTGCTTCTTCTTTTTCTTCCCATTCTCCTTTTCTTTCTCTTCTAGGGTCCCCGAGGCCTTCAGGGACCTGTTGGGCCCCCTGGCCGGCAGGGCAAGATGGTGAGTGACTCCTAGGTCCTCAGGTCATCTCTCACCCATCCCTCCACACCCAACACCAGCTCAGCTTTTGCTCCCAGGGTGTTGGTGTCATTGGTGGGATAAGAGTCGAGGACAAAGGATAGCAGCCCCACTGAGTGTATGACAGGAGTCTGGCCCAGTCCACGAGGCAGGGAGGACTTGCCAGGGAAAATGAGGTTGAGCTGAAATCTGGGGTAGAACCAGGTAAAAGGAGAGGAAGGGCATTCCAGGAGAAGGAACAGCATGTGCAAAAGAGAAGTCTGGCACAGGCGGGAAATTACGAACAAGATCCCTCCAGGTAGTTTTAAGTGCCATGAGACAACACACAGCAGGGCAGCTGCTGGAGACTGAAGTTGAGGCTTCTTAATTGTTGTGACGATGGTGACTTGGACTAGAGAAAGGGCAATGGTTGCAAAGAGTAATGGGTGGGTTTGAGATACATGTGGAAGATTAGATTAATACAGAAGCTCCCAGCTCAGGACTCTGTATGCAGAAGATGCTCAGTAAATGTAGTGGGTATCTTGATGATGTCACTCCCCCCACAGGGCCGCTCTGGAGCAGACGGGGCTCGGGGCCTCCCCGGAGACACAGGACCCAAGGTAGGTGATGGGGCCACGACTGGGACTGAGGAAATGTCAGGGCCAAGGACTCAAGGCTCAGCTGGTGTCTCTTTGTGCAGGGCGACAGGGGCTTTGATGGCCTTCCAGGGCTGCCTGGTGAGCAGGGCCAAAGGGTGAGTGTGTGAGGCCCCGCCCACGTGCCCAACTCCTCCCAATACTCATGAGCCCCTCCCCACCCCCAGTGTCAGAGCTTCCAACCCTGGTTCTGAGCCCTCACCCTTCATGTCCCATCTTCTTTCCTGGGGAGGTGGGGTGTGTGTGTTAATCTCTCCCCCCACATTTCCACACTGAACTCCCTTCTGGTCCCACCCTAGGGTGACTTTGGCCATATGGGGCGGCCTGGTCCCCCAGGAGAAGATGGTAAGAAGGTAAGTTTAGAGGGGAGTTAGGAGATGGCTTGGTCTGGAAAGCCAGGATGAGAGTCAGAGAGGAGGGGAGTATTCAAGGAACAGGATGAGGGGTGAGGGTCTGATCCGGAGGGCTAGGAGGCCCCAGCGAGGCTCAAAAAAGACAGAGGGAGAGCCCTAGCTGGTTTGCTCAGTGGATAGAGCGTCGGCTTGCAGACTGAAGGGTCCCAGGTTCGATTCCGGTCAAGGGCACATACCCGGGTTGCAAGCTCGATCCCCAGTGGGGAGTGGGCAAGAGGTAGCCAATCAATGATTCTCTCTCATCATTGATGTTTCTCTCCCTTTCCCTTCCCCTTGGAAATCAATAAAAATATACTTACAAAAAGACAAAAAAAAAAAGAAAAAGAGGGAGAGCTGTGGGCTAGCACTGGAGTTAGGAGGTGAGGCTCAGGGTGGCGGGTCCAGGTTTGGGGTCAGAGGCCTGAATCGAATCACATGTGCTTATCAGCTGGATCCTGTCCCAGGCCCTGCCTCTGGGGCCTCTGGGAGGGGCTGCCCAGATGAGG